ATGCATAGGAAGCCACAGACTAGACAGAAAGCAGAACTGGCTGGGGAATTCTGGGAGCTGAAGTCCATCTATCTTAAAGCATGCTGGCTGGGGAATTCTGGAGTTGAAGTCCACCCATCTGAAAGTCGCCAAGGTTGAGAAATGCTGCTCTAGGGTATCGTGTATTGTCATTTCTCCAAAGTCAACCATCTGAGGTCTTGTGAAGCTTAAGAAAAGAAATCCAATGAAGAGACTGCATTATTACCTCCACTTGACCTGTGTCTATTTCCCCCGCAGACCTTGCAGCTCAGAGAACAGGCAATATATGATGTGATCAAGTGAGAGCAAGCAAGGTCATCATTGGCCTTCTCAGCCTGGGCTCTGCAGCTTCCGGCTCACTGATTCTTTTCACCCTCTATTTAGCAATCATCACGACCAGCATATTCTACTCAAGGCTGGAAGCTGAGTCCTGCTTCTTCCTTACAGTTCCAGCTTTTTTTTAACACACATATTCTTTATTTTGCAAATGCAAGCTAGCAGTGCTATAAAAACAGATGACAATTGTGCAGTGCAACTTGTTCAAGCTTCAGTATTATTTATCATAACATGTAGATATATGTTCCTTTTGTCTTTTGACCGTACTGTAGGAATAGGATGACCTTTGTTTATAATTGATGTTCTTGCTGTAATACACGACCAAAGAAAATAAAACAGATAAAATACCGACGTACAAATAAAAGAAATAAACCTACCAACCTAGAAGAAAAAAAGCACATTCATTGAACTGATGTCCAAATATTTGAAAGAAAGCATTCAGAGGCAGAAGAGGAAGAGCAGGAATCTTTTCAGTACAAAGATGATTTTTTTCCATTTTGTTTTAAATGAAGTGGAAAGCAGCTAATTTCTCTGGATTTGGAGGACAGGTTTTTAATAATGCCATCTTAGAAGGAGCAACTCCATGGGACCTCTTTGTAGACACAAGATTTTTTTTCCCTGGATTTTATTCTTCCTTTTTTTGTTTTTTTTTCCCCCCTGAGTTTTTCTTTTTCTTTCTTTTTTTTTTAGTGCAATGGGGTTTTCTGAAATGATTAATTTTTTTAAAAAAATATTTTGTGCTGTGTCTTCTTTTTTTAATTTTTAATTTTTCTGTTCATTGCACAGGGTTTTTTTTTTAATTTCTTTTTTGCCTCGTTGAGTCTTTCCATCATAAAAGTATGGTATGTTACATGTTGAATAATGTCAGTATGAAAAAGTTCTTGGACTGTAAAAGGTCTGAGATCTTCGTCTAACAAGAGAATGATTTTTCACAAATTGATCCATATTAAAAAGCATTTGAACTGGACTGATCTATTGTATCTGTCAAAAGTCTAAATTGGCTCGGGAGTTGCTATTTTAATTAAGAAATTTTTCAGTTTAATAGGTCATGTTGTTAATTTTATTAAGATGGTTTTTATTAATCATAACCCAACCAAAACTAAACCAGATATTTTTCATAGTTGGTTTTCTAATCTTTTTATATTAAAGGATGAAATAATAGTGACAACTGGCAAGGGATTTTAATTTAGTTGTGACTGTAATGATGTTCCTAAGAGATACAGTTCACAAAGTTGGAATGCCCTCCATGACTGCATAATGGAATTTAATTTGATTTAAATCTTATTCAACAAGATTATACTTTTTTTCAACTCTTAATTGTGCATATTCTCAGCTGGATTATTTTTTACTATTGATAATGGTGGCATAATCAATGGGTTTTAGGAAGAATTGTCAAGCTGGCCTAAGATGGTACTTTTAATAATTTAATACTTCAGTCGTAGAAGATCCATAGTTTACTGATTAACCAGGAAAAAAAATTGAGATTTTCTTTTTCAAATAAAGAGGCTGACAACAAATCTGTTCATACAAAAAGAAAGAAAAACAAATCTTACCATCATAATTTCCAAAGGAAGCCAAGGATATTTTGAATTTGTCTGTGAGAAATCCTACCTCAGATAGACTAACTTGTTTGAGAAGAATAAACCAAGATCCATGGTTGAATTTGTCTGTGAGAAATCCTACCTCAGATAGACTAACTTGTTTGAGAAGAATAAACCAAGATCCATGGTTGAATTTGTCTGTGAGAAATCCTACCTCAGATAGACTAACTTGTTTGAGAAGAATAAACCAAGATCCATGGTACAGAATAAGCTATCTTTTCTTGGCTTATATGCCTGCTTGTTCAAAAGGAGATGTGAAAAGCACCAACATACATTATTATTATTCATTGTTGGTTATTAGTTAGCTATTTGTGATATGGGAGAAGCAGGTAAGGGCACATGCTTATTTCATTCTCTTTGGGTTCTTTTTCCCCCAAGAAAAAAATGCTTTGAGAAATATTCTTGACATTCTTGAGCAATAAGAATGATAGGGGAAAATGTTCAGTATACAACTTCTTCGTTTGTTTGTCCTTGCACCCAAGAGTTGGGGCTAAATTATATCTGTAAAATGTACTATAAACACCTAAGTTGTAACCCTTTGTAACTAGTAACCTGCCTTGAACATTTAATGATGCTTTCATCTGAGCTAGTATGACTCTTGTTCTTTTAGCAAATAAAAAAAATACTAGTTCTAAATGTACTGTATGTGCATTTCTTTTTCCATTGCAACTTGTGAATCTGGCCACACCTCTTTTGGGAAGGGCAAATAGGCGTTGGTTAACTTGGAGAAGGTTGAGAGGTGTGGAGGTGACCACATACCAGTTGCTGTCATATAAAAGCTTGATCAGTGTCCCTGGTGGGACTAGGTTTGGTTTTGGACGAAAGGACAGGAAAAGTTTCCAGCTTTGCAGTGCAGACAAAGTCACCTTGCTCGATGGATGGTGTTCACAGTATCCCTGGATGGAAGAATTCCTGGTGGATGGTGTTTTGGGCAGGTATGAATGAGAACCTTGAATAGGTAGAATTTGGAGGGGCTGGATGTGAGCTTGGGTGGAAAGTTGGGACCTCGTTAGAATTCCTGATGCATCTACCTGCTTTTTGCTGAATGCTCCAATTGTTTTGATATTCATGCTGCTCTTATTTTGCAAAACAGGACTTTGTTGCCAGTGATGATTATTGATTTTGTTTCAGTTAACTCACTTATGGAGTCTCATCACTTTAAAAAAATCCATAGAAGTCCAAAAGGTCCACTTTTCCAAAAGGATTTCAGAGCAAATCTATTGCAATGTCTCTCTTGTGCAATTACTACTGAGAAATTGTGATGAACAGCTTCTGTTTCTGGCCCCACTCTTTAAATTCAATTCTCCAACATGATTTGGAGGACTAGAGATCACCTAGATGCATTATGGGCTTCCCACACTCTTAGGAACTATGATTTTTCCTAGTTCTAAATTGAGCAGATGGTGCATCTGTAGGTGCAAGATAGACCTTCCATAAACCATTTGAGCAAAATTTTTAAAAAACATGCAGACTGGTTGACTAAGTAGCCTTCCTTGACTTGCATCGCTTTTGTTTAAAGGAGATTGTCTCATGGAAGACTGTAGCACTTCAGTTCCTTCTGAGACTGTACCACCATGACTGCCTAGGCTGCTGTCAGCCCTCCAAGGTAGACCAGACTGTAGAGTCCTTGGGGTTCTCTGAGCTTGGTTCTTTTCTTGCAAACGTTTCATTACCCGTCTAGGTAACATCTTCAGGGCTAAAATGGTGCCATTTTAGCACTGAAGATGTTATCTAGCC